ACCAGTTCAAATCCCAGCATTCGGCGGCAGCCTTATGCCGCTCTTAAAGAGCTGCCACTCGGTTTCCATATCAGTGATCATAACTGGGATCTGTTCGAATCGTCTTTCGATGTTGTTTGCAAATTTCGCTCTCGTGTCCACCGAAGATAATGTTTCTCATTTGATTCCCTGGCTGTTTCTGCCACCAGATCTTCGTATAGTACTCCATCACTCACAGTGATGGGTGCCAACAACAAGGTGGTGATCAGGTGACAAATCTGCTCGTCTCTTAACACGAACATCTATTAAGGAGCGTCGTGAGACGTTACGACTATCAAGTCAATCATTGACTTCTATGCAAAAGCTTTCCTATCCCATGTATACTGATACTCCTCGATGGTTGAAGAAGGTTTTCATAACGAACCGTCCGTTGTTTGTACAAAACTGCAACAACCTCATGCCATTATTGCTGAGGTGGCTAAGGCTGCTCTTTTCATTCACGGTGTTACACTTTTCAGCGTCTACTCCGACATGTGCATTAAAATCTGCCACGGCTATGAAGAACTCCGTAATAGGTACTTCGTATAAAGCACACTGCACTAATCGTAGCAGTTTGCACTTATCGTAGCTTACTACATATTGGGTGGAGTTCTTTTTGAACCCTTAACCAGAGAGATTAAATATTAATGTACATTTTCTCATCCACTGATAAGATGAACTGATGTACTTTGTTGAGGTTCGATGGCACCGAAAGTGAATAGTAAGCCGACAAAGAGCTGGGGCAGCGTACTACTTTAAGACCCATTGCAAAAGTTATGGTTCTAAAACTAGTTCGTTAAGCAACTGTGCGAGGCATTTTAAATGACAGCAGTCCACAATGACGAACCCAACATCTGCCCATAGTACCAGTACACTGTGAAAACGTACAACAATAAAATATAGACAAAAGTAACAGGAAAATTTGTCTAACTCCGGAAATAATTTTTCTTATACTTACATAATGGTCGTTGGAGATGAAATCTAAAAATTGACCCATTCGTATTTCTTTACCGTTGAAAAACTTTTTTCTCATACGCGTCTCTTCAACTACGTTATAAAAATCTGGCTACATTTTGTCTGCCAGATTTCTCGAATATCAAAAAATAAATACAATGAAAAAACTGTGTAGTTTATTAAATGCAAACAGATATACTGCGAGAGAAAGAAAAAAATGGCTCAAGTGCATGTCCTAAAATCAGCGTTGCTTCGCTGTCGCATCGTCCCGAACCGCTAAAGGAGGGCTTACAAGGTGCTACCTGCAACTGGAACAACTTCGAATCGACATTTGTTAGTCAATTATGACAAGTCATTTCGGCAACAAGAGTAGCAGGCAGAGAAGACCAAGTTGGTTGTTGTCTTAAACTGAAGACGGCAAGTTGTCCTAAACGACATTCCGTTACTATGGGAATGAAGAAGGCAATAACATCCTAATGCCAATAAATTCATCAAAGCGTAACGAGAACAAAATCAAAAATCAACAACTGATTCTGACCTCAAAAGCGAACATGGTTCGAAGCAAGCTCAGGCTCTTTTCATAGCGCTTGCTTCGCATTCGACATTTGTTTTGCCAATACTTCCTGACATTGCGCCAATGTGGCAAGTACTCTAAGAGTATGCTTTGAGCAGTAGGCGGACTCAGCGCGTCACTTTGTATCCTGGGCGCCTCTTCACACACTTCGTCGTTCTGATCTGAAGCCGCCGGCATGTGATAGACATTTTGACTCGTTGCAACGGTCTAAAACAAACCAAAATTAAACTCTGATAAGAGAAAAGGTTATATTTATAAGTCGAGCATATTATTTCATACAACGGAATTAGCTTTCAACTGGATCTGTCCTCTCCAGTCAGACTGACATGACTCTCAGTTTTCGTATTAAGTGTAGATGAGCAAGGGGTGCAGCAAGTTCGGTGCTTCTTGCATGACTGTTACTTCTTACCATCGCTGTCACTTATCATTGACATAATCCAGATCGTCCACTTTCAGTCACTCGATGCTGATACCTTAATTTTCTTGACCTTTCGAAGTATTTAATGAAAATTAAAAAGGTCA